ATCCCTCTTTGATTTTGGAATGGGCTTGAATGTCCATACACACCTATGTCCTAATACTTAAGCTTGAGGCTCAAACATAAGCAATGATGAGTCTAGATGATTCCCCACACATAAGAATTTGAAGTTGTTACTTTATATGCTTTTCATATACTATTGCAATGTTATATCTGTTTTCTATTGCATATGTATATGTGTGTATTCTTGTAGGATTTTTATGAATACATGTTGAGTGAATCTGAGATTCATTCCAATCTCGATCCCAAGGTTTTGGGCATGCCACTGAAAAAAATGGGGTTTTGTTCCCAAAGAAGTTCACCAACCATGTTGATAAGTATTGATCTCCATGATGTAAATTCTTTAAACCAAATTATGTCCCTTGAACTTATGGTTCTAGCTACAACGGGTGCAAATTTAATTCAAAGCACTAATTTGCGTTTTGGTCTTTTCATTGCTTTGGACTTATCCGAAGAAACTCTTCAAGTGGATTCAAGACTTCAAGCTCCACCTTACCGCAAAGGGTATTAGAGCAACCATCAAGGTTGAGAACCAAATAAGTGAAGCTGAGAAGACAACCACTATGATCATATATGCCGCCACATGCATCATGCGTTACAGATTGAAGCTAGATACAATTGGAAGGATTAGCTGATTGATTGAAGCTGAGAAGGGAACCTTTCTGGCAAGCATTAGCTAATCGATTTAGTCATTAGAAGTTGATTACTTGGCTTGAAGCTAAGCACAATTGGATTAATCTAATATACCAGGACTATAAGTTTGTGAATCAGGGTCCTAAGTTTTCGAGTGCCCAGGGCGAATGCTCAAAATGTGCCATTTTTCATTCCAACATATTATATATTAATTAAAACACTGGCATAACATTCTAACATATATTATAAAAACATTAGTAACTGACGACATATCAATTCAACATATTTAAAAATTAAAAAAAAAAACCTATTCGTCAGTTGCCACTCAAAGTCTCAAACTTTTATGCTTTGGTAGTCTCAATACGACATACGATTGTTGCAGGTTATTGCTTTTGTAGATTTGCAATCCTTTTACAAAATTAAAACAAATTTGTAAAAAGCAAAACTAACTTGAAAAAATTGATAACAGTGAAGAAAAAAAGTTTTTAATCTGGGCCATCTAGCCTATCTGCAGAGTGTAGACTACAAGATTGCGTCACTCTAGGCCCAAGGGTATGGGTGTGGCCCATGTGGGTCTTGTTAGTCTCGCAGTGAGCCAATAGGCAATGGCAGACATCAAATTGAAAAAAATAAAAGTCGGTCTTTGCCTAGCTTCCTTGTTGGAAGCAGGAAACACTAATTTACTAAAGTAAGGCGGCTTGAACTAGAAGCAGGAAGCAAAACTAGAAAATGGGAGATTGGGTTTTTGGCACAATCACCGACACCATGTTGGGTATTTGAAATTTTGAATGGACGGACTAAAATTCTGAAACTCGAATGTCTTTGAAATTTTGGAATTTCGAACAACTGCGGCACAAGCATATGATTATGAAAAGTTTGGACTTAAGGATTGATTTATAACGTTTAATTAAATTAAAGGCTTCTCTTGAAACATGAAATTTGATCCTTGGAATTGGAATACGTACTAAACAACTAAGAATCTCGAGGCGTTCAACATCTCAAGACAATGTGATGGTCAGTGTGCACTATGTCAAAATTTATCATTTTTTTTTTATACCTATCATTTGGACAAAAACTTTTTGGTGCCCCTTAAAATTTTAGGCCTAGGACAGGCGCCCTGTTGGCACTAGGCCTGGGTTAGTTCTATTATGAATGAATATAACTCTGAAGTATGTAGAATTTGATCATTGTTGAAATATTGGAAGGAAGAGTTGAATGAACATGATTTCTAGCAAAAAAACCTATTCAACCTTCCATGGTATGAATATCAATTTGCAACAGCAATATTGAGCACAAAATTTTACTAAATTTTAGGATCTCATATTTGTCTTGTTGATTGCTAAGAAGAACAAACAACTACTGATGAAGAACCATTAGTCTTGACCCACTGACACTAGAGTTGATCCAGAAGCACATGTGATCACTTTAAATAGCTAGAAATGTTGCTAGAGGCGTAAGGGACCCAAGAAGAATCTCAAATCCAAGCATGCAATCAAGGGGAGACTAAAATCTGACCAGCAAAAGGGAGATGTTTGCCCGAAGCATGATTCCCTTACTCCCAAAGCCCATAACTTTAAGAATAAACCTAAAGTTGCTAAAAATCCTTTCAACCTGAAATGTGCTACCCAATGATGAAGCTTTTAAGGTGCAGAGAGGGGTGGCCGCCTCTCCTTTCGGTAAAAAAAAAAAAGCCCAAAAATTTATATGATTATTGATATTGATTAATTGAATTGAATTTTGGTTTACTGAATATTTATATGCTTATTGGTATTGGTTAATTGAATTGTTGGTTTAATTAGTTATTAGTCATATAGTATATTCAACTCTAGGATTATGAGTCTAAGACTCTTTTTTTCCCCATTAGACAGTTACGTAATAGAACGATACTATAAGAAACAGTGTTTAAATCGTCCTTCAAATATTCTGGGTAGTTCACAACAAAGTAAGGTCATTAAGTTTGATGAAATTTTGGCTAATGTTCTTGTAGACCTTGAACATAGACGTCGAATGCTTGATTATCCACCTAATTATCGCGAAGTAATTTGTAAACACTGTCTCCAAAATGCTTTTTGTTAACCTAAAGACCACACCATGCCAAGATATTATTATATAAAATGATTTGGTTGTTGCCATTTTTTTGAACCTTGCACTCTTTTGAGTTCGCACATCTCCCTGACAATTTCTACCTTCGCCAGTGGTGCTACCACTATAAGGCGTCAGACCACTAGGTCTATTTGTGTTGTGCTCCCAAGAAGGTCGTGGAGGACTGTCACATCCCGGCCCGGGCCCCCACCACATCCCGGGCTTAACTCCACCATAGCACGATATTGTCCGCCTTGGGCCCCGACTACACCTTCACGGTTTTATTTTTGGAAACTTACACGAGAACTTCCTAGTGGGTCACCCATCATGGGATTGCTCTCGCGCGAATTCGCTTAACTTCGGAGTTCCTACAGAACTCGAAGCTAGTGAGCTCCCAAAAGACCTCGTGCTAGGTAGAGATGGGAATATACATATAAGGTTTACAGGATCCACTCCCCTGGGCGATGTGGGATGTTACAACTAGCTTTAGGTTCCGTAGGAATTCCGAAGTTAAGCGAGTTCATGCGAGAGCAATCCCAGGATGGGTGACCCACTGGGAAGTTCTCATGTGAGTTCTTAGAAAGCCTCGTGCTAGGTAGAGACGAGAATATACATATAAGGCTTACATGATCTACTCTCCTGGATGATGTGGGATGTTACAAGGACTATCACGCTTACACATCTATCAATGAAAAAGATGTTTTTTTCCATGCCCAACTCGTACATCATGATTTGGTTGTATTTGAAGTACGTGTCCACAAAACTCAGCAAATTATGCCCCACTGTAGAATCAATGAGCAAATTTATTCGAGGTAAATGATAAGGATCCTTGGGGCATGCCTTGTTTAACTTGCACGTGGGAGGCGTCTACGACTTTAAGACAATGAAAAAAAAAATGCCATTCTTGATATCACATGCCAAATTATTCCTTGCTCTTTTTTGTATACTCCTTTATTTATTGATTTGTATATTTGATGTAATTGAGTATTATCTAATTGATTAAATTTATACGGTATGAGTGTATTTCTTTATATTTTCTATACATTTTTGGTCTCATCCTCTCTTGTACCACTCACTTAGGGTGTCGCATCTTGAACCCTCACTTGTTTTAGGGGGACAAGCTATTATCATTACGGGAAATGATAAATACACATCATTTTTAGTTTCTTGCACACCCTTGTTTAATTTGTTTGCTAATTCCGTTTAATTTATTCAAGCTAATGGTTATAAATAAATAAAAAATATGTAAGAAGCTACAAAAAAGTGTGTGAAAATAACTTCCTCATTATTATAATGATTGAGTTTTACTTGGAATACACTTTACCTTCAATTTCGTACCAAACTTTGAATGCTAACAGTTTCCCATCATATTTTCATTTGCAAGTTTGCTTTGCACCAACCCCAAATACCATCATACCTGTATACTGGTGAACTATTTCATTTTAATAACAACTCACAGCATAAAAGTATGACATGTCAATACGAGATAGTCTTTAAAAAAAGAAAAAAACTAATTATGAAATGTGACAATATTCTCTTCGTAAACAAGAAGTTTAATGTTTGAATTTCACGGATACAATTGATATTATTATATTAATTTACGCTAAAAAACTTGAACTCGAGACTCATTAAATTAGAGGAAATGTCTTAAATATCAGAACAATCTACGATTACAAATTTAACGTGTTTTTCCTTTTACATATGGTCTAATATTCTAATTGATAGAATGTTGAGTTCTATATATATATATATGCATCATGAGTTCTTTTTGGTGATAATAATAATAATAAAAAGTTGGGTCAAAGACTCAAAATCATATCGGTGGGAATGCAGTGCACCAGTGACCAACCTGTATCTTAGAAATAAAGCAAATATTAATAGGGCTTTGAGTCTACGATCCACCAAATCCGAATATTTCAATTCATGCCTACCCAATAAAAAAAATAAAATAAAACCCTACCTAATAAAACAAAATCCTACCAAAATATAAATTTCCAAGCTCAATATAAAAATCAAAATACTATACTTTCTTAGGATAATAAAATACCATATGATAACAAATTTATTTGTTTTAATTTAAATTAAAAACGCTTTTGACATTTTTTTATTACATACGATAGAATGAGCTAAGCTTCACAATCAAATTTAAGAATTCTCACTTATCAATGGAAACTGTAGTACTAAATCGCAATATTTTTTTCAGATTATGGGAAATATGAGTGCATCATGAGTGAGAAATATAATTGGGCAACTACATTTCCACCGTTTCATACCCCTCCGTTATTTGACAAAAAATTCCCTCCGACACCGCACACAATTTACGAACACCGTATACATATTAATCTCACATCAAATTTTAATTAAAACAAATGACCAAACAACTCCCAGATTGGATCCTTCTCTCCTCCTCCTCAGCTCTATACATCTCTCTCTCTCTCTCTCTCTCTCTCTCTGTGGCAAACACGCAAAATTTGAGGTCAGTTCAATGCTCTTCTGGCATTCAATTTCTAACTCTGACCTTTCATATTTTATTTGTATATTTCTGTGTAATCTGATGGAATTAAGCTAAAGATTGTGGCCTTTGAGTTTGTGGATCGTGCTTATAATCCGATGAGCTACTTTTTGTATCCATTTTTTTTCATTCATTCATTCATTCGTGTTTCATTTGATCTCAATGCTTTAAGGAACAGACCCAAAGTTGGTTTTTTGGGTTTGGTACCTGCTATCCAGCTGTAATGCTTTATTCACTTTATTTCATTGGGTTTCAACACTGTTTGGTTGCTTATAAATTCTATGATCCACCCAAACTTTTCTCGGGAAAACTTACAAGAACTCAGCTAATCATTTACGTACTGAGTAGCGGGTTGTTTTCGGTTCTTTGTTTTCCTTCAGAATTTTCCTTCTTGCGTCTCGTTGATTTCGGTTTAAGCTTATATTGGACAATTTTGGCTTTTTGTTGATGGAATTTTTTATCTGAATAGGAACCGTTGGAGGAGTCTTCACATTCATCCAAGCATACCTGTTTGATTACTTTATGTTATTTGGTGGAAATTCTAGAGGAGCTTCGGAGGGGTCTTGAGTTTAGGCCAAGAAACTCGTGCTCAGAATGTTGTTTATGCGCTAGATAATATAGTGCGGTTAAGCTAGACAATGCTTTGGACTGCTTTTACGGAAACCTCATAGGCCATTTGGTAGATTGGATTGTGTTGTAGGGTATAGATGGATCTAATTTAGATCTTGATAGGAGATGGTAGAGAGTGATTTGACCACAAAAAAGGTCGGGTACACAGAAGCCAACTACGCTCAGAGTGGAAGCCACCCGTCAGGCCATCGCAGGGAGCCCTCATTCTCTCGCTGGTGCGATGAAGATGGGACAGTGCATTTTGATCGTCTATTAGGAAATACAGATGCGACTGCAGAAGAAGAGTCTGACTTTGAATTGCCCAAGCTCCAACAGGGTGAGCTAGCACACAATATTTTAGATAAGGACAAATACCACAATACAAAATCTCAGAAGAGAAATATGCACTTGAACGGTGGTGATACCATGGATTCTGCTGCTAACCAGGTTGGTGCAAACGGAAACGAGGAGTATTTGCCCTTTGATATTGAGAATGGGTCTGCAAGGAAGGCAGATGGTGTAGATAGCTTTATTTCTATGCATGACCATGAAGCATTACCACCCAATTCGGAGAACCCTATTACTCTTACAAATGTGTTGAAGACATTGTTCTTTGTACTTGTATGGTACACTTTCAGCCTGTTGTTGACCTTGTAAGTTACGTCTCGTCTCTATTAATCATCAGATGTATGTAGTTAATAAATATTCAAATTACTTACTGATGCAATGTTATTTCCTGTGGTTTTCAATGTTGGATTGTTTAGGTACAATAAAAGTCTGTTAGGAGATAATTTGGGGAAGTTCCCTGCTCCCTTTTTGATGAATACAGTTCATTTCACAATGCAAGCTGTTTTGTCAAAGGGAATCACATGGTTTTGGTCTAGTAGATTCCAAACTCGTGTTGCTATGTCATGGAGAGATTACTTCGTGAAAGGTAAAGTCATATTTGTTTTGCTTTGTTATTCCAATTTGGTAAATTGAGTGAAGTTCTTTACTGAATAACCTAGTGCTTTCATCTTTTAATTCAGATGCTGGTTGGTTTGCAGTTTCCGTGTTTTTATTGTTTGTTAGGATCTATACTTTATTTTTTTTTCTCTTTCAAATAGGAGCATTTATGTGGATTAGTTTCCCCATTTTTTTTTTTCTCTTATCTTCTTTTGAAGATTCAAGTGGTATTTTGTTATGCAAAATGTAAAATTTATATGCTACCATCCATAACTCTAATAATTGTGGCCTGCAAAGAGAATGCAATGCGTTTAATGATCTTTTGCAAAGCAACGATAGTTTTTTTGTTTGAACTGTGCCATACACGCCATATTCATATCCAAAGGAGCATGTTCCTTGTGATTTTAGTCATTAGGAGCAAATAAGGAGTTTCAGCCAATGGGTTGGATTCTCGATTTGCGGAGAAAGGTTCTTTCCCAAGTCCTTGGAACTACATTTCTCAAGGTTATCTTCAATAGAATCTCTTTAAACTGCAATGCTGCCATCTACTCCTTGGCCTCCCGTTCTTCACTTCGTGTTATTTCATGGAACCTTCAGTTTCGTAAAAAACTTGAATGATAGACAATTATTAGAAAATGCAGACTTGTCCACTCTAAGTGATATTTCTTTCCATTCTAATTGAGTAGACTCAAGATCGTGGTGTTTCATCCTTCCTTTTCCTTTTCGTACTAATATTTCCATATTCAGTTGAGTTGGCCACCAATCAATTCGATTCTCCATTCGAGCCATTTGGCTTGGTTTGGAACACTGGTGTTCCAACTACGGTGCAAATTTTCTCATGTTGGTGGTTCATGGAAAGATAATAAAACATGTGGCATACTCCAGAAAATATGGCCCTTTCCATGTTTATTTACATGTGCGTGTTTTATAAAGAGGAGAGAGAGCAAGTATAGACCATTTATTTTGCATTGCTGATTTGGAATTGGCTGCTGGAGGTGGTTTGGTGTGAGTGTTACTGAGAAACTGAAATCTGGTGCTGTCAGAACACGGTCTGATTAATGTTGCTAATTAGGTGCTCACATTGTGCACGTGCTATTTTGTCCCTTTGGTGGTGGTGCTTGGTTGGAACAGAACAAGATAATCTTCTATTGGAAGGAGGAAATGGGATCAATTTGGGAGAGAGACTATTTTCTTTTCTTTAGGATTTTCCGTCAAAACAAGAGAATCTTCCTTTAGTATATATTTTCCTATTTTTTTTGTTTCGGGGGGGGGGTGGGGGGGGGGGGTGAGGTGGGGAGTGGTGAAGGATGCAGACTGCAGAGAGTTTAAGGACACGTGTAAGTTAAGATAGTGACATGTACTCTCAAACCAACAAATGTAGATTTGTATAAGTTTTTAGAGGAATCTTAGACCTAGGTCATGAAGCATGTACATATTGCGGGTTCTCTCATAATCTGTGAAGCATCGACATGGGAACGATAATGACACAACACAGGCCAGCATGATATATTCTTGAACAGAGTAGAGTAGAAGACAGTATGGAGACATGATCCAGGACACATCATACATATTTGTAAACATTTAGTGTGAAATATTTTTAATTCTGAACTCCCAATTTGAATCCCCCACAGACTAAATTAGGCTCTCTTAACTTGATTTTATATCTTTTTTTGCATTGAAAACTGCTTCTTATTTCTCTGTCTTTGTCAAGGTTCTGGGGTGTGTTCTTGTGGTCATTGGTTATTTCTTCTGTTTAGTTGTTTTTAATGAGCCTTTAGGTGCTACTATTTAGTTGGGTTTATTGGCCAAAATATTCAATTAGAGTCCATTTCTTATGACTGTTAAGAGTACCGGAATCTTATAAATGTCAAGTTAATTCTTTTAACTAGATGGATTACAAGATCTGAAAGATATCTTCAACTGTTCAACCTTTTGGAGGACTGTTTACCGTCTGAAATATGTACGCATGATCTGTAGATAATCTTCCTTCTCATTCTTAAATATACTTACCTTGCTGCTGTTTTCATAACAATCCTTAAATTATGTGCATTACGTCTAAATTTCCTGTCCATTTAACTACTATTGGTACTGCGATCACATAGCCAGTCATGCCATTTTTCTTCTTCTTGTGGAATCCTTGTTGTGAACCTGGGTTGTGTCCTCATGGCGACTCTATTGTACCGAATGACAGGATCAGAATAATTTTGAGAAACTTGAAATTATATGTAGTATATATAATATCAAAGATTAAAAGCATTCATGCTTTTGTACGGATAGAAACATATTTGTGTGTCCTATACCATTGAATGTTGAGTTTCTACTTTCTATATAAGTAGAGAAGCCGGAAATTATTTTTTTATTGAATTTCAAATGCAGATTACTTGCATTGCTTTTTCTGCTTCCCTGCTGGGACTGATTTTGCATTTTTTTTTTCCTCGTTTAGAAACAGAGCTTTTGTTTATAATTGGACAAGTGCAGTATTAACAACTTTTACTTGCATCAGCTCGTTTATTATTTGTCGCAAATGACAATTGTTATAAAGGAAACAGAGTTGCTAAAGATTACGTCAAAATCAGAGTTCTTTGCGTGGCATTTAATTTTTCATAGACACTTTATCAAAAATTTGCCACACTTCCTTTAGTGCCTTAGGTTAGTGTTTACAAATATCGTTCTATTCTTATAAGTTTGTGGTCATATACTTGATACTTCTTATGTTATTTAGTAAATTAACTTTTCTATCAACTAATGCTACAGATGGACTTTGCCTTTCACAGTTGTACCGACGGCTATTGGAACAGCAATGGATGTTAATCTAAGCAACGCATCCCTTGTTTTTATATCTGTCACATTTGCCACAATGGTTGGTTACTTTCTCTACACATCCACAACCTATCATCTTTCAACTTTTATCAGTCAGCAACTGACTTCCCTTTCCACTTCTGCAGTGTAAATCAGCTGCTCCTATATTTCTCCTTCTATTTGCTTTTGCTTTCAGGTAAATTTCTTGCCATTAGAGTTTTGTACCCAGATTCCTTAATCATGTGCATAAATATCCGTACCTGAATGCTATCCAGTCTTTGCTGTATGTAATCCAGTGCTTTTCTGGTATCCCTATTGGTGCTTGAGTGATTCTTCTCCCTCATTTCTTATACTATAGTTATAAAATCTATTCTGGGTCAACATTAGTGTTGAACTGAACGATAAATTATATCATGCAAGTCACTGTGCCACACCCCAAGCCTCAAGACATGACTAAAAAGAAAACTAAAATAAATACTCTCTTTTCTTGTTTATCATTTCCAGTTTCCATTTCTGAGATTTTGCATGCTTGAAGTCAGTCGTTAGGTTAGGGCACAAAATTTGTTTTTATGAGCTTTATTTATTTTGACTGATAAATTGATAATGAACCCCTAAGATGAAGAAAGTTGGGTTCCACCATAACACCAAGCACATGCAAGGTCCCTTATTTTCCTGATTTGGGATTCATACTCTTAACGTAAGAATCTATGCGGCCTCTCAATCAAATATTACCTCAATTAAGTAGTAAATTTGAGAATGGGTGTTACAAATTGTTGTCTAGAAACCCTCTACGTTGGTGCTTATTGTTTGGTTTCCGCCACTTTCATTTTCTCTCTGATTGTGACTGTTGTCCTGCTGTGCACTGCAAATTCGCTGCTTCATAGATTGGAGTCACCAAGTGTTAGACTTTCAGGGATCATATTAATTATCTCACTCGGAATACTATTAACAGGTAACAAGCTTTAGCATATAATTTATTTCAATATGCACATATTTTCTTTTCATTTTATAAATTTTATATTTCAATTCTCAGGATGAAAGATTCTTTCCCTCCCTGCCCCTTTCTTTCTTGCTTCTCATTTCATTTATCTCTACTCCATTCCCTCTCATCAATCTTTTCAACAATATTGGGTTTGCTTGAAAGAAAGTTGAACAGGACATTTTATACTTCTAATTTTAATGAACTTATCATTAGGCTTTTACGCCATCTCTTTGTTAAACTAAATCTGTCCTAAAGTCTTGCTATTGTTGGATTTGGCCTATTTATGGAAATAACCAAGGTCCCCGTCAGGTTCCATTTATAATAAGATCTCTTTGTGATCACATTCGTGGAACTTATAGATACTTTTTAAAAACTTATTGTTTGTTTTAGACTTCAGTGCAGATTGATCACTAAGTTTTTGAACATGTAAAGGTACTTTGAGATTTTAAGTATCTCAACTGAGACCTCAATTTAAACCCTTACCATTTTTTTTTGATTTTTATGCCACTAGTTCTTGCTTTAATTAGGTTCTTAAGAAAATTTCTCAGGTGTAACTTTTAATCATTTATGATTTCCGATGTTAATGTTTTCTTATCTTTCCATTTTGAATAATGTGCAGTTGCAAAAGAGACAGAATTTGACTTTTGGGGATTCATTTTTGTCATGCTTGCTGCTGTAATGTCTGGCTTCCGTTGGTGCATGACACAAATTCTTTTGCAGGTTTGTTTTCTATGTGCTACTCGGTTTCAACCATTTTTCACTTTTAATAATTACATGCTCTTACATGATTTTATTGGTTACTTTGTTATGCACAACGCTCGTGAACTTTTTCCCAAAATCGAAATAAAGAAAGAAGATTATGGTAAGTCTTAATTGATATTATTGCAATCTCAATATTTTTGCAGTGTTTCACTAATATACTTCACCTGTTGTCTTCAAAAGAGTTCTTGCACCTTGTATAGGGTCATCAGTTGCCACTATGGTGACATCATTACATGTAATAGAAATAACATGTCAATGTGGCCAGTCCCTGCTAGAGTTACAACTTATTCAAGTAAATTGCCGTTGTTGCCAAGTGTAACAGTTTTCCATTTTCTAATAATTTAAACAAATATTTTGATTTGTAAATTCTACAAGTTCTTTTGAAATAAGAGCATCAATGCATACTTGATGTCACCACGTTGTAGCACAAAATTCATACTTGATTTAAAGAAGGTCCACCTTATTTTCCAATGATCTCACCCAACTGAACTGGACCAAGTTGAGAGATTACCATTGGTGATAGGTTTAGACAAGATTTTGGCACTGGAATAGTTATAGTTATGCATGCAGTCAAGTTAAGATGCAATTCGCACCAGGTTAATTCCTGGTGTCAATTTTATTTAGATGGGAGTATTTCTATAAGAATCAGGACATTATCTGACTATCTGCTCTTTGCATAACATACTCTTACAGTAATTCTGTTAAATTGCTCCAGGTTTGAGAAATCCGCTTACATTGATGAGCTATTTGACCCCAGTGATGGCAGTATTGACTGCCCTTCTCTCTCTTGCCTTTGATCCCTGGGATGAACTTAGAAAAAACAATTACTTCAACAATCCAGGGCATGTCGGTCGAAGTTGCTTGCTGATGCTTTTTGGTGGAACCCTTGCCTTTTTTATGGTAGGAGAATAGTGAAAACTTTTTCTTATTACAAAAATGTATTTTTTTTCCTTATGTTTGTATACTTAAGACTTTTGTTGTTGACTTTAAATTTGGGTATTATGTGAGGGCTGAGGGGCTGCTTTAAGTTTGGCAGGATATGTGTTGACTAGTTCCTGGTTTAAGTTCTACTTTGATTTTAAACACCCAAGTATGTGTGTAATAAGGTCCTTGAATAGAGATCCTTTTTTTTTTGGTTAGTGGTTAGATTGGATATGGATGGCTGAGACACATAGGAGTTGAGATATACACTCAAATCATCTCTGCTATTTATATATAATTGAAGGGTTGAAGCAGAGGTGTTTTTACGATCTTATAAGAGAATGGTTACATACATGCATATATTTACACTGTATAATTATCAAGCAGGTTTTAGGCTGACAAAGCTCTCCTTTTCCTGCAGGTATTAACAGAATTCATTCTTGTCTCCGTAACGAGTGCTGTCACAGTAACAATAGCAGGTGTTGTTAAGGAGGCTGTCACTATATTGGTATGTTCTGTTTTCTATGTTGGTCCCTTCTTCTAAATTTCTGGTTGTCTTACCTTTTGGACCTACTTGTCCTAAGCTGGACAATCTCATAGTTATATATTGTTTGTTTCTTTTAAGAATTACATGAGTACTGTTATATATAATGGCTCATCAGTGCTGTTAAGCAGATTCAAGTAACTGTTGTCTCTTGATTCTACTCTTGTGAATGCTAGAATGACTTCCTTTTAGAGTAGGGATTGATCACGAAGCATCATCTTATTGCAATATGTAGCATGTTATGAGCCTATCAATGTTGTAAATCTTGGTTGTTACCCTAATTGTCAAAAACAAACAAGATGTTGGATATGTAGAACCTTAGGAGTCTACTTTCCTGACTAGTGGTATACCCACTGCCTGAAAAAGTTGTCTTGCAAAAAAATAGTGAAACTTCTATTTATGTGTGTACTTGTTATGTACCCAAATGGTTTCATTGGCATTACAACCACATTCACTTGGAGAAACAGAATCCTTTTCTTTTTTTCTTTTTTTTTCCTTTTCTTTAGTTATTCACATTGTGTGAATATATAGTCCTAACAAATTATTTAGACTAATTTCAGTTTTAGGTTGAGAAGTGTTTTGTCAATGTCTTTTCTGTAGAAGGTGAGATGCTTTCCATCCCTGCATGGATTCGTGCTAGTGGCTGCTAGTTACAGTTTACCTGTCTATGCATGTGAATTCTGTTGTTGTCGAACTGTCTGTATGCCTGAACAGTTTATATCAGAGGGAGAACTATATGCATGTATCACTATAGTTATTTTTTACCTCAAATAACAGTTGATTGTCTGGCCTATCCTTTTGGAGATGAAGGAATAGTTGAGTTAACTTGAGTGGTGTGGAACTGGGAGGCCAAGGCTTGGAATATGTTTGGATTCTATGGTTGATATCTAATCATTGATTTCTGCTTTCCTACCTGATTTGAAAAACAGTAAACTATCAAGTGGCAACAAACAAAAGACTTCCTCATGCCACTGATTGCGTGAAGAGAGGAGCAACTAAGCTGGTTGCATTAATAGTTTAATACGATAGTTTCATGTTTTAGAGCTTTATCTCTTAGATTTCATAAATTAATTAAGGAGTTGCATGAACTAGTTGCAGATTGCAGTGATGCCTGATTTAATTCCCACTTAGTTTACATTTTCTATGCGTAAACTTTACATTCATGATCTACTAGATCCTAGATCTATATGCCATGGGAGAGTTTGCAAACAACCTGGTTGGCTCACATGCTAGATCTTTCTTTTATGCTTTGTACATGTTCTGATTTGAGTCTATGGATTTTAGTGGATAGAATCATAGAAGTTGAAAATTTATGTTAATCATTTTGTGTTCTTGTCTTCTTTTGATGCTGATCAGGTTTCTGTACTTGTCCATATATTTATCCTGGAGGCCAAAATTTTGTTTTGATTTCTGATCCTATCATTTTGTCATACTCAGGTTGCAGTCATTTACTTCCATGATGAATTTACCAGGTTGAAGGGAGCTGGACTCTTCATAATTATGCTTGGTGTTAGTTTATTCAACTGGTACAAGTAAGTACTCTTTCAGTTTGGGGAGAATCGTTTGCTCTTTTGCTTATGTTGTAGCATGTTCAAAAGTGAAACAGTCATGAAAATTGTTATCATCCATTAGTCTGTTGAAAATATGTAGTGGGATACCTCCTACCTTCAGTAATTGAATAAATACATAAAATTACAAGTGAGAATGAGTAACAATATAGGCAGGAGACGCAAAGAAATTATGATAGGTAAATTTTGGTTTTGTCTATATATAGTTGGGGAGAAAAGGAGATGATAGGAAGTGTGTAGGGAAGTAGTTTCTGCTTGGATGGAAGTAGGATGAAGTAAAAGACAAGAATTTTTAAATACGTAAGTCTCACTCATGATTATTTATGCATGTTATCTTACAGATACGATAAGCTAAAGGCGCGTCATACAAGTGAAGATGACATGGAGGAACCAGTCACAACAAATGTTGCTGCAAAGTATGTTATTCTTGAGGAGACAGATGAGCAAGATGATGGCAGATGAAAGCTTTACCAAGTCCATGCATCTAAATTTGAAGGAAGCCAATTGTAAGTTCATGAACTTCTTCAATCATGTGAAATTTATGCTAATTGCTTGGGTTGCCAAGTCCATGCGCAATTCTGTCTTACTTTGGGATATATGTGTATCAAAGAAACTTGTCATTCTCAAATGTGGCTGGCTTGTCGATACTCCTTTTACGTTTATGGATCTACCGCATTTAGATGAGGCCATTTGTATTTCTGTAGTTGTCTGCTTGGTGGTACCCTATTGGTGGTTATTATATCCAGAAGACTGTCTCAAGTGAAGGAGGTGCATCACAGAGTTTAATGGTTAGGAAATTATGGATAACCCCCTAGTTACAACCCCATCCATTTTTTACCCCCAGCTTTTGTTCTATTTATTTGCCGCCCCCTTAATTCATTTTGGTGTATAAGATCTTCATTCCAGCCGCAAAATCAACTAGCCCAGTATGATGAGTCTTCTTACTTGAAGCCCTTTTTTGTTGCACCCAGCCCTGTTATGAACGCCCAAATGAATAGGAGGTTGCAGGGCCAATGGTGGCTCACCAATCGCCGGAGTTTTGGGCTGCACTGGGCATGCAAGGGACACAGAAATGGGGCTGACGTTGTTTTAGATAATTAGAGAATTCCACAATTACAGATTAGACATTTGTATTCAAACAATCACAAATCAAATAGTTACAGACCAAAATAATTGAAAATAAACATAGTTTCCCTTGCTTTTTCACCTTTTTGTTGGATTTTCTATAACCTAGTGAAAAAAAAAAACCAGAGCAATGACTGGATATGGAGGCTTCAAGGTGAGAGAGTAGAGAAGGAATCTGGGTTTTGGGAGAGGAAGTTGGTGGAGGTGGATGCGGAGAGGGATTCCTGGTTCGAACTTCGAAGTTTTCCACTGTTGAAGCACATGTAGGGGGCGGGAAAAAGAAAAGAAAAAAGAATAGTTTGTTGGGTGTAAGTAGAGAATAGTGGTTCTCTGTTAGCTGATGCACATTGTCGAATTCTCATGCAATCTCATTTGTACAATAGGCTACTCTGTTAACTTGACAGTACATCATTTACGCAGGAAAACTTGATCTTCATGCATCTTGGTGAAGCTTTTGGCAAGAAGCATATTTGGCCGTTTCACTTTTCAGCATTTATCATGTTCATCTTTCTTCTTCAAGCTTTGCCCGAGAATCAACACGAGGCGAGATTCTGCAGCTGCTGCCAAAAATCAGAACAGCTAAATATTTGCTTTTGGTATATACGGAATGTTGTTGGCTAGGAGTTAGGATATGAGCGTCTCGATGTCGAATTCAATAATGCTCTATTTTTTCCTGATTATTTTTGTTAAAAGAGGGTGGTTTTTGCAACCGCAAGCTACCCAGAGTTTTGTAATGCCATCATTCGCGATGGGCTGTGTCATTGCCCTTCATGTATATTATAAATCGAGTTTTTTTTTCCCTTCCTTTTTTATTTTTGTATTTGAATCACAATAAAATTTATTTACCAGAATACGAAATTATAAATTCTCTTTTCATCATGCAGAGTTGGAAAAACTTGACAATTTCTTATAGTGATTTGTTGTACGCAGCATTAGTGACTGCTGGGAAAATGAGGATGAATGCGGGAGATGCATGACGACAATAGTTTTCGTTTTTAGTTTTCATTTTCTCTGCATCTCTCCCACCGTGCTCACTCTTCTACATCTCATATCTCTCGTATGTATTTCTCCTCCATCTCTAACACAAAAATGATAACTGAAAATCAGAAACAATTGAAAAGAAAGAAGGATCAGTGATGAACTTGAACAGATGTCAGACAAGAAAGACATGCTGGACGCTGAGGTTAAATGATAAGCGTTACCCAACTTCAGTCAATCTTGTCCTTTGATTTTTATCAAATAAAATTTGCGGCTATGATGAGTTTGGAAGTAATAAGTTGAAGCTGAATGTTGTATAGCGTATAACCCCCAATCAACAGATTCCTTCAAACTGCGTTCCGCTTCGATGATACGTAGCATTAAATGCTACAAGTATTTGATGATCTAGATTCACAGACTCAAAATTAATAAAAACTAAGGGTTATATTTGGGCCTACAATAGTCCGAGTTAAATATGCTAAACTAATTATGGCATATTGTACTTTTACAACCCATGTATTCCTAAAATGTTAAGAGGATTCTCTCAAAAGTGGGACTCTTCATAGAATCTCTGTCATCTTATGTTTTTAAACAATATTTTATAATGTTGGCATGTTGATTGACGTTAAATTGTGAGGTTGCAGAGAGCAATAACAGAGCCAAGAATTATTCGGTGAGTGAGCTAAGCTAAAATTATTTCTTCAAAATCAAATACTTATTATTATTATTTTTTGGTTGACTACATAAAGTTATGTAATAACCCTGAAATTAATAATTTAAAGTAAGAACTTTGTAGTTTATTTTCTAGACTTCTAGCCTTTGAAATTTCAAATGAATAAAATAAGGAAGGTATGGAAGTTTTAATTTATCACTATTAAATTTTAGTATTGGTCAAATTGATGAGTTTATTTAATACTTATTTACTGTTATTTTCCTAAAAACAGCTCTAAGATTTATACTTTTATTTGATAGGCGGGTTGTGCAAATTAAAATTATAAAATAGCCCAAGTGATTAGTATTTATAAGCTTAAAGAACTAAAACTCTCCCTATGCTATAGCCCACCAGAGCTTTGTACTTGGCTCTGGCGGTGGCAAAGACTCCATAGAGAGTCTTACTTTGAAAGAGTCTCCTTAGCATTTCTCAAACAAAAGTCGTTAGATTCCGTTAGATTATTTGATCTACGACTCTTGTTAAGATTTTAGAGCATCTTCAATGATTTAGGCAATTGGATAGGCAAATCAATTTTTGTGACGACTTGTCCCTAATTTGACACTGTTATTAATTTTAAATGAGTGAATTGATGGAAATGTCCCTAGAGGCAAGGATTTTGACTTTCGTAGACCGTATTTTTGTGACACGTACGTGTTACTATTTTGTCGTATTCTCGAAGTACTCAACATTACAAATGCGTAGGCGCAAGCGGAATCAAAATTGGAGCTACGATGAAGATTTTACGGAACTACGATCGTAAAGGGTGTATTAGTAATTCCATTTTGAAAGATATTTTTGTATTGTTTTGTGAGACATGTAGGGCCCATGCCTATTCCTTCACCACTACTATGTCTCCCTATCTCTTGGGACACCATTTTTCACATTTTTCAAATCTCCCTATCTTATTTCCTCCACTAGATGGCTACCATGCCATTTTTTCCCTCTAACCCTCTCAGTTTTCATCTCCATTCTTCTTAAAATCTCTCTCTATTCTTCGCACATGTAGAGAGGCCAAAGGCCATACACCCTCACCATCCATTCTCTCCCTCTATCTCTAAGTTATATGCACTGCATAGAAGGTGCAGCAACACCAATCCATAATCACCAGCACCACCTCAGCGAGTTCTCAAGCCATTATCACTGTTCTCTTATTTCTCTGCAAGCATCGAGAGGTACAACCGTAGCACCCCACACCACCTTAGGTCACTGAACCATTACTACTATATCAACTACCAAACCCTCATTCAAGAACTAAGCTCTTTGGGCGTGTATGGACTGAGGAGGGATCTGTTTTGAGTTGACCATCTCTGGTGAGTTTCTTCCGTCGACGACTAAGGTGGGCCTCGAAAGCACTCCATCACCCTTCTTTTTCGTTGTTTGTTAATGATCTTAGGGTTTTAAACTTGTTTTGGTAGGGTGTGGTGATTGAAAGGACGAAATGGAACTTTTCCCAGATTTCTACTACACTTCGTATTAATTTTGAAATAGACAAATTGTGCAGGAAAATTTTTAGTTTTGACATTAATGTTTCAATCACCCTACAAATAGTTTACTAAGCGAATCATTACCGTTGGTGATTGAATATTCCAGAAGCTACCGTGGTAGCGAGATGTTATGCATTAATCTAGTTACTTTCTATTCTAGATTGATGGACTTGTTTTGACTCTCAAATTCTTGATTGTTCTTTTAGCCTTCTAGATAGTTTTCGCTAAATCCGGGGGAAATTCAATATGAAGCTACTCGCTAAGGCATTGTGAACTACATTGTTTGATTTCATGGTATGCATGTCACTATTGTACCTCATCGTGATGTGTGTTTCACTTCCAAGTCTTGGTAAGCCCTGTTGAAGGTTATGACTACTAAGTTTTTGTCCAGTATCACATTTTTACCGTCAAACTAACAACCAATCTAAATGAACTACCCAGACCTTAGTGGACGTATTGCATTTTGTCCGTTCTATAATTAGCATGGTTGTAACATATATTTATCTTTATTTTAGTTGCTTGTAACTACAGTTACAATTTTTGGTTTTGGGTATGACATTGTTGAGATGCAGTATCGAGACTTATGCATAGCATATGATTGATAGAAGAGTATTGCGAATATGTATTTGAATGATCGAGATTACAATATAGAAAATTTTATAATATTGACGATGTTGCCCGAGAGGGTAGTATGTGAGCGCGGTCGAGGCGCTAATCAGACGACTTATATGTATTTCCCAATGAGGGGCAAGATGGTAATATTGCACCCTCGGGAATTTGTTACTTGCTTATCGAGACAACAATGGGCGGTTGATATCGCGGGCTGCAAACCGTAATAATGATAACTTATTTGTTGGATTCGTTAAGCAAGTGGATAGGTAAGTCCGTTTACGTTTGGATACTTATTTATTTATTTATTTGTTATATATTTACCTATTTATTGTTTGGGCTCAACCCAAAGATACTACATACACACTTATCTTCGGAGTACGTGACGCAACACATACGTAGGTGAAAAATATTTCATATTTAGTTTTGATTTTAGCACAACTATTTTAAATTGTACATTATTTTATATACGTATTTTGACGATATGTTACTATATATCTATTTTTCACTCGATGTTTTCATAAAGAATTTTATATTGTAGTATTGTATTGAAGGAGAAGGAAAGTTTTAAGTTTGGAGGCATGAAAGAGGAATCACTGCAATCCAATCGTAACAGAATGACATTCTCTTTTGTGTAGCCGCTCTAACTTGATTCTTACTTATATTCTTTCTCCCAACTCTCTTTTTTTTTCTTTTTTTTTTGAAGTTTTTATGTTTAGCAAATGATTTCAAATTTCGGGGATGAAATCTTTTTAAGGTGTGTAGATTGTGACAACCTGTCCCTAATTTAACAATTTATTTTAAATGAGTGAATTGACGGAAATGTCCCTAAAGGCAAGGATTTTGACTTTCATTGACCGTATTTTCATGATGCATAAGAGTTACTATTTTGTCGTATTCTCGAAGTACTCAATGGTACGAACGCGTAGGTGGAAACGGAATCGAAATTGAAGCTACGATGAAGATTTTACAAAATTGCGATTGTAAAGGGTGTATTAGTAATTCTATTTTGAAAGATATTTTTGTATGTGAGACATGTGGGGCCCACGCCTACTCCTTCACCACTACTGTGTCTCCCTATCTCTCGGGACACCCTTTTTTCCATTTTTTCAAATCTCCCCATCTTATTTCCTCTACTAGATGGCTGCCACATCACTTTCTCCTCTAACTCTCTCAGCTTTCATCCCCATCCTTCTTAAACTCTCTCTCTCCATCTCTAAGTTATATGCACTGTACAGAAGGTGCAGCAACACCGGTCCATCATCACCAGCACCACCTCAGCGAGTTCTCAGGCCACCATAAATGCACTGTCTCACCTCTCTCTCCTATTTCAAACCCTTATTACTAACCCTCCATTTTCCCCTGTTCTCTTATTTCTTTTGCAAGCACCGAGAGGTACAACCGTAGCACCCCACACCACCTTAGGTCCCTGAACCATTACTACTATATCAACTACCAAACCCTCATTCAAGAACTAAGCTCTCTGGGCGTGTACGGACCGAGGAAGGATCTGTTTCGAGCTGACCATCTCCGGTGAGTTTCTTCTGTCCATGACTAAAGTGGGCCTCGGGAGCACTTTATCTCCCTTATTTTTCTTTTTTTGTCAATGATCTTAGGGTTTTAAACTTGTTTTGGTAGGGTGTGGTGACTGAAAGGACGAAATGGAACTTTTCCTAGATTTCTGGAAAAACAAGGAACCGTGCCCATTTGGCCCCTTTTAGACTAAATTCTTGGCCAACTCCGATCTCCGTTAGGCCTCCTAAGGGTACGACTCTCTTCTCTACATTTCTAACTTCAAAATGGCTTTTGAATCATCAAGTTTGGTTAAGTATCAAACTAAAAATTAGCTATGAAAGTTGGGAAGAAATTTCCAAATTTCTGGAAAATTTGGCCGTGACCATCATGCCACTTTTAGGCCGTTCCCCCGTTCAACTCCGGCCACGATTGGACCTGGAACTAGTATAAACCTCTTCCCCACATTCCTAGCTTCTAGTTGGCTTTTAAATCATTGAGTTTGGTTAAGTATTGAGTTAAAAATTAGCCTTGGAAGTTAGGAAGAAAACCAGCAAAATTCTGGCCTTTGCGAGGAAGGCAAGTACTGATGTACTCGTGGCGCGCGTGCTGACAGCGCATGAGATGCTGGCGCGTTTGTAGCCGTAATTATTATAACTTTAAAGGGACCCTCTTGTTTGTAGCCGTTAGATAGACATCACTGCAGAAAATGATGATGACTTTAGAGCATGGAATGGCTGGGTTGAGTCCCGTATCCGTCAAATAATGCTGAAGATTGAGAGGCACACTTGTGGCAAGTTGCAATGTCACCCACATCTAGGGGATTTTTCAGACAAATCAAGAGGTTTTAGTAGCTCTTTCTTCATGGGCCCACAACGAAGTCAATGAGTCCCTGCCGATGATGGCCAAAGGTACTTTGACATAAGAAGAACAATTGAGGAGTTTAAGCAAGCTGATGTCAACCGTTAGGCATTTTGGAAACATGGAATGGAGATCTGTGTATCCTATGTAAACCATAGAAGCATTCCTAATTTTGTATTTCCTGGTGGGGTTTGACCTCTGTGCCCATCTAAAGTAACTTGGGGGAGAATGCAGGGTTCAGAATCAAATGTTTATGGAGCATCTGAACCACATAAATTCTGTGAAGGCAAAACTGATTTAGATGGATCAGATGGTGGGCGGAAGAGAAAGCGGGTGGATAAGAATGTAGAGATTGACTCAAGGCATGCTAAGTCTTTACGTTGCTGTGATGAAGAATTTTGTGAGGCTAGCCCTTGTATCAGCAGCAATGTCAGTTCATGTTCCATAATACGTGACAGTGTGGATGCAAACAGTAATAACTTGAGAAAGACAAAAATCCCAAGGGATATTCCTTATCAAAGTGATGAGACTGAAGCTTCTTTAAGGTGCAATCCACCAATCGATAGCTTGCCTGCTGCTGCTAGTACATCAAATTCTGAAGTAGTAGAGGAGCTGGCATTGGCGAAGAAGATTACGGCTACACAAGAGGGTGCATCAGTTGGAACGCCAATGAACTCTAGCGATGGAGCAGCTCCTTCCAATGATTCATGTGATGGGGGCGTAGAGGAATTCGTGGATGAATTCATGGCGCCATCCTCAAACGGAACCCCTTTACCACCTGTGGCGCAAAGCAAGTCAATCGTCAGGTTCAGTTTCACTAGATTGGTCAAAGCTAGTGGCTAAAAGCATGAGGATGTTCAATGTTTAACTTCTTTTGGAACATAATTTCAATAATCGTTATTTGATCTAAAAGATGAGGGAAGATTAACAAACTTTCAATACTCGTTATTAATCAATCTAAGCGTTGCAAGAATTGGCTTACTTGCCTTAAAACGTCGCATACATTGTAATTTCCTTTGAGCTCAATTACTTCCCACACCTAATTCGGCCACTGAAACTTATTTTGTGACACACCACCTCTTCGCTCATGCTTTGCTGTTAAGCTATATAAAATAGAAATTTCAGACGAAAAATGCTTGCATTGCATTGAGAATTTATTGAATTGATTAGAGCCTCGTCTTTTACACGTCTCAAATTAATGAAATTAATTGTTCTATTGGCTGATATTTTTTTTTTCAGGAAAAACAATATTGAACTTTGAACTTGGATGGTTCGTATAAATTTAGTTGCTTGATTGGTAGAAGAAGTCTTATTGTTGTCATTGCATATTATCTCATTTCATACTAACATGAATCTTACCCTTACTTTTGTATATGCACACGCGCGTTTTTGTGTCAATGAAACATAAGTCAAAGGGAAATTTTAAAAGCCTTACGCGGTTTTCTTATGTTGTAATTGTTGCCGATGCAAAGGAAACCCAAATCGGTCTTGTGACTTGTGAATCTCGTGATATCTATAAATTGAGCATGGCACATGCGCAAGAATGACACGCATAAGTAGTATGTAGGGTTTCCATCTTTCTATATATGTAGCACTACTAAATTTTTGACCCATTATGTCTGCAGAAACTTGTAAAGTTTATGAAGAATAACTATCGACACACTAAAATCTACATTTATGAAAATGGAATAATCCAGAAAAAGACGATATACCCCAAGAATCGGGCTTTATTGTATCGCCTACAAAGATAGTCTCAAGCGCATTCACGGAGTTTCGGATGGTTGATCAAGCTCATCTTTTGACCTTGCACACAGTTGCCTGTATGTGTTGAGTGGGAGAAAATTGTAAACAGAGAGTGCTAAAATATGTATTATGTGTGTGTACGCCATGACCGTTCAGTTTCATAAGCTTGGAAGTTATAGCAATCTTAGAGCAACGTCTTTGATTTTCCTCTTATTACTTGTTCATTTCTCAACATATGCTTGAGTTCAATAGTTTCTTACACTAAATGAAGATGTCGGCCAGAGTTCATGGCCAGCATCGTCCTTCTCTTCTCTCTCAAAACCAATGGATTATCATCACAACAAATGAAATGAACTCAAAGCTATATGCTTCCTGGAACACAACCGTCCATATGTTTTCCCTTTCTCTTTTCAATTTTCTCATTGACTGAATGAAAGAAACGCCTTAGTCTTACAACAGCCACTTTAGTGTTACAACTAAAACGATTATAATGTAGGACGGTTGTCCTTTCGCATCTGTTCAATCAGCTATGCGAAAGAACATCTACACCAATTAACTCAATTGTCCAATTCAATTGACATTTTTCAAACAACTATAAACCAATTAACCATGTATATACACTCCGTCAAGTGAAGAATCCATAAAGTACTTCAACGTTACAGCCTCCATTTCAGAAATGACAATCCTTTCGTACAAAAACAAACTCAACATGAATCAGCCCTCAACTCTATTGTTATTATATCCTCGAAAACACAAGCAAAGACACAGGATGACCCTTCAAACACAACTTCGGAATCAAATCAAAGATGCATCATTCCAACCTATGCTCTACCCTTAAAAAATACCATGCCATATTGAACAATGCAATCCCACATCGGAAACTTGACAAAGTAGACTACTACTCATAAATAAATGGTTCCACTACTCATAACCAATGCCATTTGTGATCAAAACCAACACCTGCAGGGCTGCACAGATGGTTAAGTTGGGAGGAAATCGGTGGGATTAGTTATGAACCACAGGCCCGACTCTAAATTCTTGACAAGCCAAACCGAAACAGACTTTAAACAGACTCTTGAGACCAAAGTCCAGGGTTTCGGCTTAGTTTGTTAGTGCTACATTACTCAAAGTATTATTATTTTGCAAACAGTTATCCATTGTAAATAATACAGTACCCTTATGACCTAAATCTGAGAACAAAACTAGAAAATTTGCATCTTAACGCGAAATTCAAACTAACAAGAAACGCGATTTGTTTGAAGATCACAGTACCGAAAATGGACCAATTATCTGAGCATGAGGGACTCAGCATTATTTAGAACCACCATATCAGACACAGAAATCAAAAAAAGCACAACCGAAACAACATTAACCACACAATGAGCAATCAGAAACCAACCGCTGGATGTACCTAGGGTTCTTCGCCGAGCTCCACTCACAGGTTGTTGTAGGGGTAAACTTTTGGGGCAAAAGGGATCTTGGACGCCTTGTCGTTCCACGCAGCCAACAAACCCAGACCAGCAAAGCAGCTCAAACCCCCACAGAGCCAAGCCAAAGCTTTGTACTTTCCGACGGTGTCTGCGATTCGATCGATGCAGGGTTCGGGAAACGGCGTGCCGTTGTCCCAGACGAGCTCGTCGTTTACGGGAAGGGGCTTGTCGGGGACGATATGCTTGCCGACGGGAAGGCCCATGTCGGCGCGAAGACGAAGGGAGGAAGCTACAGAACGTGAGACGATGCCGCTTCCACCCATGATTCTGGAAGCTACGTTGCTCAATCTCCCTGCCATTTCGCAAACTGCTTCTTCTTCTTCTTCGTACCTAAACCAACAAATTCGATCGCAACTGGATTCTGGAATTGAAGAAATGTAGATGAGAGGGGAAAGGCCGACGTTGGAAAATGTATTCTTGCCTGTTGAATGGGCTGGGCATGCTGTGTTATCTTCTTGGCCCAACAAAATTGAAGTGAAAATAATAACTGAAATTTAAAAACGAAATAGTTGTTAAATCACATCCCTACAACCATCTTTTGTTTAAAAAGTATATACATTCATTGGTGAAACCAGGAATTACAGAGGGAATAATGAATTTAAAAGAATGCAAAGTTCAACAAAATGAAAACAACGAAATTCCTTTATATAGTAATGTATTTCATAATATATTAATATAAACAAATTACAATTGTTGCCGGTGAGATTTCATGTCCTGAAAACATCACATAATAGGTTCACTATCAATAAAAGCAAATGCATATCTTTCAGTGTAAACAATCATGCTATCATTCAACCATTGGTCTCCATTTTGTTACGCAATGATGTTTTCACAATCTTCATAGCAGAAAAAACTTTCTCTATCAAAACGGTTGCAACCTGTAACACCAAAACCAATATAAGAAGCTTATACAGTAACATATAGCTTGCACCCCCCCCCGTATTTACCAACTCTTTTGCAAGATCACTAATATCTCTCGATGATGAAAATTCACTATGCATCTTTATATCATGAATGTAATTGCCAAGTTGAATTGGAAGATTCATGAGGTCCATATGATCAAAATCTTGATGATAAAGTTGGGCTAAACGAATAATTTTTGCTTTGTCAAAAGATGCAAAATTATTTACTGAACTCAAATATGCCATACAAAGAAACAACTCGGTATTTACCTCATTGAAGAGTCATTCAACTCATTTAGTTGCATATCAAGGACTTGAAAATAGAGATCCACATGTTAGTAATGGAACTTTGTGAGTCTTGGAGCTTTACCTCTTGATTTTCTAGGTACGAGATGCAAATCCTCAATGTTAGAAACAATAATTTAATGTTCCTCACAAAACTTTTGTACATCATTAAACAAGTCCTCAAAGTCATCTCTCAAGGATTGTAGTCATTACTTGCATACTTCCACTAACGCCATCGCACTCAAAATATCTTAATCTTTCTTTTGTAATATTTTTGATAACTCATTTCTAATTCCCAATATAAGTCTCATAAAAAAAAAGGTGAAACACAAAATCAAAAGTTTGTATGTCTCTAAATAACTTATTTGGTTTATCGAAGTAGTCTTGGTTGCCATCACCTGTAATTCATTCAAGCATCTCCACCACGGCTTCAAACATAACAATAATACTAATTATAGTACCATAATGTGAGTTCCATTGTATATCACAAAGACACATAAGACTACTCTCTTTATTCAACAAGCCAGATCACTAATATCAAGAGCTTTCTTAAATTGTTCTTGTTATTTCTCTCTAAATGCATCACGACGCTTACATGATGATCCAATAATATTGACCAAACTACTAGGCACTAGCATTGTTGAAAAAAAAATAGCAACATGCTCACCTTCATTTGCAACGGCCACGAAATTAGTTGAAGTTGGTGTGCAAACAATGAACATAAAAAGCTTGTGGATACTTGTTCAAAATCTTTGTTTTAAGGCCATTTATCTCACCTCTCATATTACTAGTTCAATCATAGCCTTGTCCCCGTAACTTGGACATACTTAATTTTTTTGTAACAAACAATCTCTCGATGACCTCTTCAAGCGACCTACTACTTGTAGAGAAGATATGTTGAACACCCAAAAACCTTTCAATTACTTCTCCTCTTTTATTCATATAATGCAATACTACCGCCATTTGCTCTTTAATTGAAACATCGCGTGATCCATCAACCAAAAGAGAAAAATGCACCTTTCATATCTTTAGTGATTGCAACAATAGTTTCAATGGCACAAACATTGATAAGATCTTTTGAATATTGGAAGAAGTATACTTAAAGATTTTTGGAAGCATTCATAAGAAAGAAATTGCATAAGCTCCACTTAATTATCCTTATTGCTTGATTTCAACGATTCATCATGGCTACGAAACAGCATACATTGTCGCAACAACCATCTTGTGCAATCAGGTGCACCACTCATTTAAGTGTGATAATTAATGTGAGCTTCATTGATTTGCTTAATCACAAATGTCTAATGTGTTGCTTTTGCGTCATCAAATCTCTAGCTTGTTGTAAAGTTTTATTATGAAGACTTCTAACACCTCCTTGATGATCTCAAAAATTTTCGAGTTCTTTCTTTCAATTTATAAACCCTCTTAGTGAAGCCATCACTTTGGGCATATCCCCTTGATCAAAATCATATTTGAAAAGATAGCAATAACGGTAAAATGAGACATCTTTTACATACAATACTCGAACCACTCAAAAATATCAAACCAACGGGTGACAAAACATCAATTGTCGCTAGCTTTTCTTAGCATGATGTGTGATCTTTAGGTTGACAATGATCATTTTTGAAGATAGTGTCCACGAATTGCTTTACAATATTTAGGTGGCTAATCAAGCATTCAACTTCTACGTCTAGGGTCAGTAGGAAGATTAGCCAATATTTCATCCAACTCAGTGACCTCACTTTGTTGGGAATTACCTGGAATACTCGAATGACTATTCGGAATATTTAAAGGAGGATTTAAGCACTGTTTCTTATAGTATTGTTCTATTATGTACTATATAATGAAGAAAAAAAAGTCTTAGACTCTTAATCCAAGAGTACAATATACTATATTGTACACCTTGTTGGGAATTGGAGGACAATAACACACCTTGCTGCTTTTTGATTAGTAAGTGGAAACAGAGTTGAAGGTAACAGGGGACCAGAGGTCCTCCTATAATTGAATTTTTTTTTTAACCTAATCATCGAAACGGCATTGTTTTAGATAGAATTTTTAATTTTTTTTTTAAATCCAGGCCAAAACATGTTGTGCAGCAACAGAAACTAAGCACACAAAAGTGTCATTTCTCACTTCCGACAAGAGCAAAGGGGTGGAACCAGCGCTCTTGGGCAGCTTTTTTAGCGAAGGGAGGGGGGCACCCTTCATCGCCCTTATGTAGCTTTCCTTGTGTATACATTACATACATTAAATCAGTTGTTCAAGTCAATGTGTATATGAATTTGGAATTTTTGATCCAAGAATCATTCAGAATCTTAATTTGCCAAGAAATTATGTATAAAACACATATTTCTCCAAATGCGTATGGCTTTTAGTATGGGTGTATTCAATTTGGGTTTTGAGAGGTTTTAAAGGAGTTTAAAAATTTAAAGGTATTCAACTAAGATTTTAAAGAATTTAATGAAAGTTTGTTGGTATTCAATCATAATTGTAAATGAGTTTATAAAAGTCCGTAGAAATCAAGCTGTATTTAATTACTTGAGAATGTCTAAGGGGACTTTCTCAAAAGTTTTGGGCCATTCAAAAATCAATTGAATTTAAAGTGATTTGAAAGGTGAAGAATTTTAGCGGATTTGAGGGATTTAATAGTGCATTTTATGCAATGACAAATCATACTTCTCCCCTCAAGATTTTGATAGGTTTTATTTTTTTTTCCTCTATTTTATTATAAATTCCCATCACATCTACTACCACCATTGTCCTCCCTGCCACCTCATACCATGCTTCCACCATTAACTCCACCTCGCCACTACGACCACCTAACACCACCACCATCAACCTTCCCACCATTACTACTGTTAATTGTTGAAAATATTGGTTGGATAGATATGTATGAATATAATTGTTTGCTGGTTATGAGAAATGTTATATTTTAGGGAGATTCTACCCAATTTTCGGTAGAATTGTATGTTGGTTTTTTACCATAAATGTTTTTTTTTTTAGCAAGGAAGAACAATACCATAGGTGTGACATCCCACATTGCCCAGGGGAGTAATCCTTATATGTATATTCCCATCCTTACCTAGTACGAGGCCTTTTGGGAGCTCACTGGTTTCGGGTTCTATGGGAACTCCGAAGTTAAGCGAGTAACGTGCGAGAACACTCCCAGGATGGGTGACCCATTGGGAAGTTCTCATGTGAGTTCCCAGAAACAAAACCGTGAGGGTGTGCTGGGGGCCCAAAGGGGACAATATCGTGCTACGGTGGAGTCGGGCCCGGGAAATGATCCTGTTTGGGCTGGGATGTGACAATTTGGTATCAGAGCCTAACTCTGGCCGTGGTGTGCCGACGAGGACGTCGGGCCCCTAAGGGGGGTGGATTGTGACATCCCACATTGCCCAAGGGAGTGATCCTTATATGTATATTCTCATCCCTACCTAGTACGAGGCCTTTTGGGAGCTCACTAGCTTCGGGTTCTATAGGAACTCCGAAGTTCAACGAGTAACGCGCGAGAGCACTCCCAGGATGGGTGACCCATTGGGAAGTTCTAGTGTGAGTTCCTAGAAATAAAACTGTGAGGGTGTGCTAGGGCCTAAAGCGGAGAATATCGTGATACGGTGGAGTCGGGCCCGGGAAATGGTCCTGCTCGGGCCTGGATGTGACAATTTATTGTGACATCCCACATTGCCCAGGGGAGTGATCCTTATATGTATATTCTCATCCCTACCTAGTACGAGGCCTTTTGGGAGCTCACTGGCTTCGGGTTTTATAAGAACTCCGAAGTTAAGCGAGAAATGGGTTAAAGCAATCCTATGATGGATGACCCACTAGGAAGTTGCTCGTGAGTTCCCAAAAACAAAACAGTGAGGGAATGGTATGCCCAAAGCGGACAATATCATGCTATAGTGGTGGAATGGGGTCGAGATGTGACAAATTGGTATCAGAGACTAACCCTGGCCGCGTGTGTGCCGACGAGAACGTCGGGCCCCTAAGGGGGATGAATTGTAACATCCCACATCGCCCAGATGAGTGATCCTTAAATGTATATTCCCATCCCTACCTAGCACGAGGCCTTTTGGGAGCTCATTGGCTTCGGGTTCCATGGGAACTCCGAA